TTCAAATACATGACTCAAGAGAAGCATGAAAAGGTAAACAGGAAAGAGAAATCATAAGAGACTTATTAAAGTTGAACTATTTACATTCCTACATGGAAGGATGATATTTGTAACTCATGAGACCTTTCTCAGTATTAGGGTAGTTGGAGGGAATATATATATCTATATATCTATATATATATGTATATGTATATATATACATATATATATACACACACACACACATACATACATATATATAGACAGAGGGCACAGGGTGAGTTGAATATGAAGGGATGATATGTAAAAAATAAAATTAAGGGGTGAGAGAACTGTATTGGGAGGAGGAGAAAGGAAGAGATAGAATGGGGTAAATTATCTTGCATGAAAGAGGCAAGAAAAAGTTTTTACAGCGGAGAGGAAGAGGAGGGAGGTGAGAGGAAATGAATGAATCTTACTCTCATCGGATTTAGCTTAAGGAGGGAATAACATACACATTCAATTGAGTATAGAAATCTATCTTACCCTACAGGAAAATAGGGGGAAAGAGAATGGGGGGGGAATGATAGAAGGGAGGGCAGATTTGAGGAGGGGGTAATCAAAAGCAAACACTTTTGGGGAGGGACAGGGTCCAAGGAAAGAATAGAATAAACAGGAGAGCAAGATAGGATGGAGGGAATTATAGTTATTCTTTCACAACATGACTATTATGGAAGTGTTTTTCATGGCTCCACATGTATAACCTATATCGAATTGCTTTCCTTCTCATTGAGGTTGGGTGGGGAGAGAGGAAGGGAGAGAATTTGGAACTCAAAAGTTTTAAAAAAGAATGTTAAAAATTGTTTTTACATGCAACTGGAAAATAAGATATACAGGCAATGGGGTATAGAGATTTATCCTGCCTTACAGGAAGATAGAAGGGGAAGGGGGTAAGAGAAGGGAGGGGTGTGATAGAAGGGAGGGCAGATTGGGGGAAGGTGTATTCAGAATGCACGCCATTGGGGTGAGGGAAGGCAGAGATGGGGTGAAAATTTGGAACTCAAAATCTTGTGGAAGTAAATGTTGAAAACTAAAAATAAATTAATTTTTAAAAAAAGGACATAATTAAAAAAAAAGACTTATGAACACAATAATTTTAATGAGAGCAAAGAAGAGGGGATTTTACTTGACTCCTTAACTGAGAGGGAAAAAATATGGAAAGAACTTTCTAGATAAAAGGAAGGTGACAAATGGAAAAGAGAGGGCCTGTAAGTGGCAGGTAGAGTCTATGAGAATAGAATTGCCTTAAACCAGATTAAGTAAAATTAACTAGAGATACAGTACTATTTTTTACAGAGGAAGAGGAATGGGGGCAGGAGGTCATAATTAGGAAAAAAAACTATTAGAGATAAAATGGAGGAAACTATAAACCTTACTTTTATAACTTTAAATGTGGAAAGCTTTTTTTTTTTTTAGTGAGGCAATCGGGGTTAAGTGACTTGCCCAGGGTCACACAGCTAGTAAATGTCAAGTGTCTGAGGTCAGATTTGAACTCAGGTCCTTCTGACTCCATGACTGAAGCTCTATCCACTGTGCCACCTAGCTGTCCCCATATAACTTTAAATGTGAATGGATTATACAATCTATTAAAAGGAAAAAGTGACAGATTAGATAAAAAATAAAACCCCACCATAAGCTGATTATAAGAAACACATCTGAAAAACAGACACAGAATAAAAATGGACTGAAACAAAATTTACATTGCATTAGATGAATCAAAAAAAATCAGGATTAAATAAAGAAAAATATTCAAAATAAGAGATAAACAAGTAAACTACATTCTGTTGAAACTATTTTTAATGAACCCATATGATTATTAAACTCAATATACTTCAAATTCCTTAGACTCTGAATTTATAAAAGAAAAATTAGCTGAAATACAAGAAGAAATAGACAATAATACTATCATGGTAGGAGATTTTTCATGCTCTTCTCTCTGTTTTGGACAAATCGAACACATAAAAAGAAAAACATGATTAGAAAGAGGATAGTAAGTAAAATCAACAAGAATAGCAAATGAATAAGGTGGAATTAAAACCAGAAGATTTTTTTTAACTATCAGAATTTTCTGTGCACTTATAAGTTAACTGCCACTAAAGTTGAGAAAACAAAAAAGAAATCTTGAACAATCCAAGTTCAGAAAAAGCAATAGAACTAGCTATAATGGAACTACTGAAGGAAGGAAAAAACTCTGTAGTCCTGAGGGATTTATACTATTCTGTTAAACTTTTAAAGAACAGTTTGTACCAATACTACGTAAATTATATTCAGAAATTGAGAAAGAAAACACTCTAATAGAGTCCTTTTTTCAGACAAATTAATCCTGATAACTAAGCCAGGAAAATATAAATCATAGAAGGTGAATTATAGGCCAATATCATTAATGAATATTGGTTCAAAATTTTTAAATAAGATCCTGTCAGACTACAACAATACAACTAAGAAATCTTTCATTATGATCAAATTGGATTTATACCAGAATGCAAGAAACATTAGGAAAATAATTAATTATATTAAAAATAGTAACATCCAAATCCACAGAATTATCTCAATAGATGTAGAAGAAGCCTTTGGCAAAGTACAATATTCATTTATGCTAAAAATCCTACAAAGTATACTGATAGAAGGACCCTTTTTTAGGGCAGTATAAGAAATATATACCAAAGACCAAAAGCAAAAGTATTTTACAATGGGGATAGATTAAGAGCTTTCCCAATAAGGACAGGAGTAAAGCAAGAATGCCTGCTTTCCCTGCTATTTATCATTTGATGTATTTCTAGAAATGTTAGCAATAGCAGTGTGACAAGAGAAAGAAATGAATGATGTAAAGATACTATCCGAATTTGATGATGATATGATGGTTTACTTAGGAAATCAGCAAAGATAACTAATTGAAACTTCATCAAGGTTGCAGGCCACCAAAAAAAAACCAAAACACAAAACTCAACAATATTCTGTGTAATAACAACAGAACCCAAGAGAGACTAATAGAAAGGGAAATGCCATTAAAAATAATTAGAAAACACATAAAATACTTGGACATTGATCTAACAAGTCATACACATTACTAATATAGATTTTATTACAATGTGCTCCTTAAAGAAATAAAGACCAACTTAAATAATTGGAGAAATATTCAGTGTTCGTGTCAGGGTCTTGCCAGCATAATAAAAATGACATACTACCAAAATTAGTTTTTGTGTTATACCAATCATGCTAACAAAGGGATATTTTATAAAACTCAGTAAAATGTTATATGTGTATATACTTCATTTTTCAATAGACAATAGTCAAAGGATATGAACAAAGAGTTCTTAAATGAAGAGAAATGCACATCAAAGCAATCCTAAGGTTACACATTGACAAAGATGACAAAAATGAGAAAGTCATTGTTGAGGGGTTGTGGGGAAATAGGAACAGAAGTGGTGGAATTGTGAATTGGTAGAGACATTTTGGAAAGCAATTTGGAATTATGCAAATAAAGGGACTAAAATGTCCATACCTTTGACTCAGTAATTCTGTTACTAGTAAGTCCTTGTATACACCAAAATATTTGTAGCAGCACTTCTTATGACAGGAAAAAAAAAAGGGGAACAAAAAGGATGCCCTTCATCTGGGCAATAACTAAACAAGCTATGGCATATGATTGTATTGGAATGTTACTGTGCAGCAAGAAATGATGAATTTGATGAATACAGAGAAGCATGGAAATATTTCCATGCTGTGGTACAGAATGAAGTAAATAAAGTAAAAGAATATATACACAACCACAGCAGTGTAAATGGAAAGAACACAAAACAATCTAATGTGAACATTACAGAATTACAAAAAGTAAGCATGCTTTCAAAGAAGAGTCGTGAGCAAATTCCTCTGCCTCATTCCCTCATGGAGGTGGAAGGTTGATGGATGTGCTCCATGGTAACTATTTTCAGATTTTTTTTAATGTATTTATCATATTGATGATTTTTGCTCTTTTTTTCCCTTAAAAATATTATTTGTTGTATGGGATGGTTCTCCAGAAAGGGAAAGAAAGGATACTGGGGGAAATTTTGGAAATATAAATAACAAAAGATATTAATAAAATTTATTTAAAAAACAACTTATGTGTTCCAGCAAAATTGGCTTCCTTCTACTCCCTTTGCATTGAGTTTCTTCTCCCACTTGCATACCTTTGCAGGCTGTCCTCCCCACCAGCAACGTTCTCATTCCTTATCTCTATTTCTCATAATCTTTAGCTCTCTTTAGGTTTCAACTTAGAGCCAGTTCCTAAGAGAAGCCTTTATTTGTTTTGTATCTATTTTGCATTTACTTATCTGGTACATGTTGTTTACCTTCAGTTGACTGTAAGGTCCTTGACAGCAGAGATGGTTTACTTTTTATATATATTACCACCTCCTAGCACATAATAGAAATACCTATAAATAAATGATTTCAGAATGAAATTTTCTAGACAACCCAAATGTGTTTCTATTGGGTAATAATTTTTCATTCCTTTGAGAGTGATTTCTGTTATTAAGATTTTTAAATCTACAGGTTTAAGAAGGAAGTGCATGACTTATTTAATTTTTATTCCAACTACTCCTAAGACAAGGAATAAAGGTGAACTTCAGCAAATTAACAGGATTATTTATGTGCCATGTGTCCCTCAGAAGATCTTTCAGCATCACCAGGCTTTAGTGACTGTTTATGGGAGGCAGGTTCCCATTGACTAATAGGATTTAGTGGTTCTCAAAGAATGCAAGCTCCTTATAATTAGAGGATTTATTGCATTATCCTTTTATGCCTTAAATATATACAGGAGGTAGATATGCAATAACAAATTATTTAGGCTAACTCTGCAGCCTGAACAGTGTCTAAAGCCTTTCTGATGCACCCTGATGATTTCTTTCACTGCCAGCTTCATGTTATGATTGATATAGCAGTGAACAAGCAGCAAAGTGCAAGTAAATCCTAGACAAGCAGACATGTGTTTGCTTTTTCAGGAAACCATCACATTCCAGGATGTGGCTCCAGACTTCACTTGGGAAGAGTGGGCACAATTGGACCCTAGTCAGCAGGACCTCTGTAGGGATGTGCTGATGGAAAACTATAGAAACCTGGTCTTTATTGGTAAATCTTTCCCTTGTGACTCCCAATTTTCACTTTAGGATGTTTTTGCTTCACTGATTATTCAAAACTCTGTGATGTCAGAAGTATTAGCTTAGTTTTAAATTACTATATAGATGTCAGGAATTCTTAGTTCATTTTGAGCCAATCTGTAAGGTTTTTCTATTCATTCTTCCCCGATTAAAGATTTTTGCCATATAAAATTAAAAATGGAGCAACTTCACTTCCCCATTGCTATCTCTGATAATGTCCTGTCCCAATCAGTTGCTTCCCTTTGTCCAGGATTTCCTGCCAGGATCCTAGTGTAGATACTTCCAGGAATAGGAGATTTGTATTTGTCTATGAGGAAAAATAAAGGACTTACGTGTCTTTATGAGCTGAAATCAATTCTGTCATCTATTTTCCCTGTAAGTTTTAAGAACCTATTACTGAATATCCTTCTGAAATCCTTTAAAATACCCTTTGGGTCTTCTTAACATATTTCTCTTTACTAACTATTAAAAAGTTTGGATCATATTATGAAATGACTCCTTCCTTGGTGTGAATGTCTATTTTGCTTTTCTTTTCCATGCATAGGACTTTCCATTTCCAAACCAGATGTGATCTCCCAGTTGGAGCATGGAGAAGTACCATGGTTGCTGAAGAATGAAGCTCCAAGAAGCATCTGCCCATGTGAGTGAATGACATACTATCAGATGGGAATTAATAACCAGAACCTGTTCAGATGGATGGTAGTAGATAGACTGCTGGGCCTGGAGTCAGGAAGACTCTTCCTGAGTTCAAATCCAACCTTATACACTTAATAGTTGTGTGACCTTGGCAAGTCACTTAACCCTGTTCATCTCAGTTTTCTTATCTGTAAAATGAGCTGGAGAAAGAAACCCCAAATGGGGTCACAAAAAGTCGGACCTGACTCAAACAACTAAACAACAACACTTACTGAGAAGGTCAGTCAGGGAAAAAAACATCTAAAAATGTTACTCCAGCAACTAAACCTTAAAGCTTTCCAGATCAGTTGGTTTGAGCTGTTACATATATTTTCATTATCAACAAGTAATGTCTGCCCAATGCCTCTAATGTCTCAACATTCAACTAGGATCATAGATTTACAGCTGTAATGCTGTAAACTGTAAGATCTTAGAGGCCACATCCAATTGTTTCATTTTATAAATGACAAACTGAGACTTAGGGAGGTTAAGAACTTTGCTTCCAGTTATATTCCTTTCTTTATACTCTAGAACCTGGCTTCAGCATGCATTGATTTTTGGAAACTGCTATTAAAAGGCATCATTGGTTTCTTCTGTTTAAATCCAGGGTTGTTTTCATAATCTTCGTTTTCTGTCTCTTTCCCTATGAGATGGTATTGAATAGAATCATGGAATGTCACAATTGAAAGTGTTCAACCTGTACTTGAACAAGAATCTCTCTATAACATGGCCACTGCCTGTAATCCAGCCTTGCTTGAAGATTTTTCTTGTCTTGGCAACACTTGCTCATCTTTATTTCCTCAATATCTCCTTTGTTTAGCAGTGCTTTTATTTATTTCTTCAACTTTTCGGCCTCTTCTTAAATGCCAAGTGTCTTTTGGGGTGTCAAGTGATATCATTTTTAACCTTCCAAAGCTCTTTGTGAGGTAGATTGTACAAAACCTACTTTTTCTTTGATTTAATGGAAAAGAGCTTTTTATTCCAACTACTCCTAAGACAAGGAATAAAGGTGAACTTCAGCAAATTAACAGGATTATTTATGTGCCATGTGTCCCTCAGAAGATCTTTCAGCATCACCAGGCTTTAGTGACTGTTTATGGGAGGCAGGTTCCCATTTCCAATTGGTTCTGCTTTTTGAAATGTACTTCCCATGTTGCAAGGTGAAAGCTTCTTTGCCTTTGATTTTTAGGCTAAAGAAATTGCTCGGTGCTCCTCTACACCCCAAAATATGTAGTGTGGCAGATATTTGATAAATAAGTTTTGAATTATAAGATGAACAGGTATAATTGTTTTCCACTTAACTGGGGATTTTTAAGAAATTAGTGTTAGAGTAAGTTTACTTTGACAGTTTTGTGTAAGGTATTTTGGAAAAATCCAAATGTGTGATAAAAAAAAGTCCTGTCTTCTGATCATATCCTGCTTTCACCAGTATTTGCTTATCTTAATATTTCCTGTATCTCCTTTGTTTAGCCAATCAAAGCCCTTGTTTATTCCTTTCCCTTTTCAGATTATTCTCAGATGGCAAAACTGTTATGAGAGCAGTCAATAAAGATTTATGCCTATAAATAGTGTTTTTAGTTTTCTAAACTCTCTATTAATAAGATACATAGTACAAAGTATACACTCATTGCTTTAGTGGGAAAAAACTTTGGAATTGGTTTCAGATGAACTGTGTTCAAATCCCATTTCTGTTCCTTATTAGATATTTCCCTGTGGATACATCATTTAAATTCTTTGAGCTTCTTTTTTCTTTATAGAAAATTACAGTGATGATAATTGTGATAATTACCACACAGGGTTTCTGTGACAAAAACACTTTGTTGATATTAAAGGGATTGTAGAAATACAAGTTGTTTCATGAGGCATGTTCTGCATTTTGTTATTCAGTTCTTGAGACAATAATTTTATTTCTCCCAGCAAAGAGGGTGTTTATATTTTTAAATTTCTTTCAGATTGGGACATTGGACCTGAAGTGGAGTTTATTCCAATGTGGGGAACTACTGTAGACGAATCATCTCAGGAGACACTAATGGAAAGAACTATGGGGCATAATTCCTGGGACTCTAGACTGGAAGAAGCTTTTAAATGTTATGGTTCACTAGTGAGGCATCAGGGCCATCAGGAAACACATTTGAAACAAGTAACAATCACACGTGAAGAAACTTTAAGTATGGAGAGAGGCTCTGAAAACAATGAATTTGGGGGATGCTTCAGTCTGAGTTCAATTCTAATTACACAACAGAGAGTTCCTATAGTAAATCAGTCAATCAACAATAATTTATTAGGTGCCTACTATGTGCCAGGCACTGTGTTAGGTACTGGAGATACAAATAGAATAAATGAGACAATCCCTAGTCTTTATAGCTTTGACACACATGGAAAGAGTTTCCAAGATAATTCAGAATTAAATAAATGTCAAAAAATCTACACAGGGAATTATAGATTGATGTATAATGAATTTGGGGAAACCTTAAGCCAGATTTCACAATTTAACCTTCATCATGCAGATCATTCTGGAGAGAAACCCTATAAATGTAATGAATGTGGGAAAGCCTTTACCCAAAGGGCAAGCCTTACTCAACATCACCGTATTCATTCTGGAGAGAAACCTTTTAAATGTAATGAATGTGGGAAGGCCTTCACCCAGAGGGCACATCTTACTCAACATCTGTTTACTCATAATGGTGAGAAACCTTTTAAGTGTTACCAGTGTGGGAAAGCCTTCATCCAGATATCACAGCTTAATATTCATCAAAGAATTCATTCTGGTGTGAGATCCTATATTTGTAATGATTGTGGGAAAGCCTTCACCCAGAGGACAAACCTTACTCAACATCAGAGGATTCATTCTGGAGAGAAACCTTTTAAATGTAATGAGTGTGGGAAAGCCTTTACCCAGAGGGCACACCTTACTCAACATATGTTTACTCACAGTGGATCTAAACCTTTTAAGTGTAATGAATGTGGAAAAGCCTATAGCCAGCTTTCACAACTTAATGTTCATCGGAGAATTCATTCTGGAGAGAAATCCTATAAGTGTAATGAATGTTCAAAAGTCTTTCCCATGTGGGCAGAACTTACTCGACATCTGAGAACTCATTCTGGAGAGAAACCTTACAAATGTAACGAATGTGGGAAAGCCTTTACTCAGAGGGCAAGCCTTACTCAACATCACAGAATTCATTCTGGAGAGAAACCTTATAAATGTAATGAATGTGGGAAAGCCTTCACCAAGAGGGCACATCTTACCCAGCATCAGTTTACTCATAGTGGAGAGAAACCATTTAAGTGTAATGAATGTGGGAAAGCCTATGGCCAATTTTCACAGCTTAATATTCACCTAAGAATTCATTCTGGAGAAAGATCTTATAAGTGTAATGAATGTGGGAAAGCCTTCACCCAAAGGGCAAGCCTTACTCAACATCAGAGAATTCATTCTGGAGAAAAACCTTATAAATGTAATGAATGTGGGAAAGCTTTCACCCAAAGAGCACATCTAACTCAACATCAGTTTACTCATAATGGAGAGAAACATTTTAAGTGCAATGAATGTGGAAAAGCCTATAGCCAGATTTCACAGCTCAATATACATCGACGAATTCATTCTGGAGAGAAATCCTATAAATGTAATGAATGTGAGAAAATTTTCCCCAAGTGGGCAGACCTTAATCGCCATCAGAGAATTCATTCTGGAGAGAAACCTTATAAATGTAACGAATGTGAGAAAGCCTTTACCCAGAGGGCACACCTCAGTCGACATTTGCTTACTCATAGTGGAGAGAAACCTTTTAAGTGCAGTGATTGTGGAAAAGCCTTCACCCAGAGGGCATATGCTCTTCAACATCAGAGAATTCATTTGGGAGAGAAGTGCCTTACACCTAGTAGGAGCTTAATAAACATTTGTGAATTGAAGTGAATTAAAATGCTTTCCTGAAATCTAAGTAGCCTTTGTCTACTGCAATGATGTCAAACTCAAATAGAAATGGGCGTTCTAATCTGTATGTAAGGGTCCCTGTGCCAGCATATTGACTTAGTTTTAAAATGTAATGTTATCAGTATATTATTGTATTTTTATTTATTTGGTTCAGTATTTCCCAATTACATTTTAATCTGGTTGCTACACTCCAGAGCAGGTTTAACACCTTCGTCTACAGCATTGTTATGCTCTACTGCCCGGTCAAATTAAGAAAAGGTTTTTGATAAAGCCACGTCAGTTCTTTTTTTTTTTTCCACACCAATTTTTAATTAGTTTAACTTCCCTTTCTGGCTTATGAACCACCCACTGCTAATGTGGGAATGGAAGTTAAGTTTATTCATTTATAGATCAGTTTGCAGACCCGTTTAGTTTTCCCTTTTTTTAAAAAAAAAAAATGGGGGTGTTTGTCCTTTTCCTAAAGCTCTTTCAGAAATTATTGATGGTAGCTCAGTTTTCAGATCTACCAATTCATTTAACATGCTAGTGTGTAATAACTGGTGACATGAACTCATTGAGGGTAGCTAGATGCTGCTTGAGTGTCCCCTCACTTATTTTGGGTTTACTTGATGCTCTTAATTTTTCTTCTAGTCTCCCCAGTCCATAGATCTTTCTTCTTCGAAGAGAAAACAATATAAGAGGTAAGTAGATCAGTCAGTCATTTAACAGTCATCTCTTCTGATGATGTAGTATGCTCATTTCTTGGCAGAAGTGATAGATTAGTGGAACAGAATGAATGAGACACTTTGAGACACTGGGGGTTTCTGCTGGGGGAAGACTTAGGAATGAAGGTGGGTAGTGATAGTGATGCACAAAAGAGAAGAAAACATCAATGAAGCATTTAAGAAATACACAGAAGAGAGGAGAAAAAAGTTCAGAGAGGGACACAAACAAGAAGGGCAGTTTTGTTTCAATCATTAAATTTAACGTTCTTTAAAAATGTAAGAGAAGTTCATGTTTCCTTTTTTTCTGTTTGTGTATTGAAATGTTAAAGTTAAAATTAAAAATAAATTTTAAAAATCATGTTATCATCAGCCTGTCCACTCTTAGCTGCAGTTTCTTCTTTGATTTTCCTCTTACCCACAGCCTAATTAAAATAACCCTTTTTTATCCTTAGCATTCATTGGTAGTCTCAGCTTATTCTAGGCTTTTGCATTCTTGACACAATATTTATAGAGCTGTCCTTTTTTGTGTTCAATCTTAGTTGTCCTTCCTCCCTTCTTCCATATTTGCCCTTTTAAGAACTGAAACGATGAGTTCCATGTTCATCCACACTTGAGGCTTTCTTTCCTCACCTCATTGGAAAGTTCTTGCTGTATCTGCAGAATGTTATTCCTGAGAGCTTTACATTCCTTGTGGGCTAACTTCCTCTGCCAAGCAATAGGTCATTGGATCCTACTTACTTTTTTTTCTTTCAATTCTTTAGGAGAACTCTGTTCTCCTAAAATCTCAGGTGCACATCGAATTCTGCTTGGCTTTCATTTCCTCTAACACAAACTCTACAAGGGAGTGACCATTGGTCTAGGCTTCCTGCCATTTCTGCTTCAGGAGTTTAGTTGGTTCTTTTCTGTTGAGAAAAATTAGGTTCCATTTCCTTTATTGCTCCTCTACCTTTTGAAGGTTGAAATCACTATCAAAGCAAGTCACAAATTTATCATCTGCATTACTTTTGATAGAGAGTGTGGATAGTTAAAGTCCTCCATCACTTTTTTTTTAAATTTTTCTCAAACTCTTCATCTAATTTCTCTCTTTGTCTAGTTTGTCTCTTTGTCTATATTCTAATATACAAGTGGATCTGTAATCTCACTTACATAAGTATTCAACAGTGTATCCTATCCATGCCTGTGAATCTTTTGGAACTCTTGTACATGTCTTCTCATAACTTTAACATCGGTATTACACCTAATGTGCTAGGGGCCTAATTTAAATTCTCTGACATTGCCGAGGTACCAGTGGTACACACAGGTTCATTCTTGCTGCGTGACTGGACATCTGCCTTCTTTCTTTTAAACCATACTCATCTTTGATAACATGGGATCATAGATTTAGAACTGGAAGGGACCTTGAAACCATCTAGTGCAGCACCTTTCTGCCAGAAGGCTGTGTTTCAATGTGAATGCTAAAACTATCAGATCCTGGATGTAGAAGCTGGAAGGGACCTCAGAGGCATCTAGTTAAGTACTCCACTTTAGAGAGGAGGGAATTGAGTTCCAGGGTCAGGGACAGGATTTGAACCCATGTCTTCTAACTCTAAAGCCCATACTCACCACTGTACCACACTAGCTCCTATATCCTTTATATCACTTGTTTCTTGCTAAAGCTTTTAATGCAGTTGATATTTTCTATTTTATCTTTTGTGGTCTCCTCTATCACTTGTTTAAGAATCATACTGTATTTATTGATGCTTTTTTTTTAATTGCTGTTTCTTCCCAATGATTCCTTCCACCTATCAGAGAACCTTTCCTTGTAACAAAGCATAGATAAGCCCAACAAATAAATGTATTGGCTATGTCTGACAACGTAAGCTCATTCTTTTGCTATTGTCTACTGCCTGTCTGCCAAGAGCCATAGATACAGAGCTGGAAGGAACCTAAGAGACCATCTAGCCCTTTACCCCATTTTACAGATGAGAAAACTGAGATGCAGGCAAGCTAAGTGGCTTGCCAAAGATCACTTGTCTAGCAAGTATCAAAGTTGAGATTTAAGCCTACATCCTTTTTCTACTCTTCCGTGCTGCTTTCTTAAGTCAAGGTTTGACACCAAATTGGCCAGTTCACAGTTTCAACATTAATCTCCTCAGAAGGAGATTTAGAAGGGGACACAGGAAGCTGGGCAACTTTGTTACTATTGGGTTAAATATATACTTTTAAGAAGCTGCGTATAATAAAAGTTTATAGTTTCTTATTTTTAAAAACATCAGTATAATATTGTACCAGTGTTCCCACAGCTCCTTAGATATTGAAACTATTTTTGTCTTTTGTAATATTTACCAGTCCCATGGATATGGGATGAAACTTCAGTTTAAATTTGTATTTTTGTTATTAATTGGAGCCTTTCATATGGTAACCAATAATTTGCATTCTTTTAAAACCGTTAATATTCTTTGATCACTTTTGGGAATGATTCTCAAAGTTCTCTTAATTGTTCTTAAAATATTTGTATCAATTTCCTAAATATCTAGGTTATCTGGCATTTATTATATATTTTCTGTGAAAAGTTTTTTCCAGTTAATAGCTTCTTATTCTAGCTTCACTGATTTTATTTGTGCAAAAGCTTTTACATTTTATATAATTAAAGTTGTCTATTTTATCTTTTATAATTACCTTTATCCCTTATTTGGCTAAGGATTTCCTCCCTAGTCATATGTGGTTATGTAAGGTACCTCCTTTCATTCTTTGATAATTTTTATTTTTATGATAATGATCTTTTATATTTAGGTCACATCCATTTGGAGGCTACCACCATCCTCTCAGTTCCCCAGACTCACAACCTAGATGTCATCTTTGACTGTTCACTCTCTTTCTCCCCTTATATCCATCCAATCTGTTGCCAAGGCCTATCCATTTTACTTTCTGTTTGTTTGTTTATTTGTTTTTGGCTAGGCAATGGGGTTAAGTTACTTGCCCAGGTTCACACAGCTAGTAAGTATCAAGTATCTGAGGCTGGATTTGAAATCAGGTCCTCTTGACTCCAAGACTGGAGCTCTATCCACATCATCACCTAGCTGCCCCCCATTTTACTTTTGTAACACCTCTTGCATACACTCCCTTGTCTCCTCTGGCATTGTCACCCCCTGGTTCAGGCCCTCCTCATCTCTCATGCCTAGACTACTACAAATGCCCACTAGTTGGTCTGCCTACCACAAGTCTCCATTCAACTGCCAAAGTGAGGTTCCTAAAACACAAGTCTGGAATAAGCCTGACTATTGCCAAATTACTTTCCAGTTTTCCCAGCAATTTTTTTTTTTAACTTCAGCACATTTAAACTTTTTATTTAGCCAGACAAGACAGGTTTCTTAAAAACAACAGATAACATTTCTGTTAGGTTCATCTTCCACATACAGTGTTCTTCAAAACAGAAACAAATGCTTTTTGTCAGGTAACATGCAAAGGCAAACAAAGTAGTCAAAGTGTAATAAAAAGGTGAATTTCAATGTTTTTTAGAAAAATTTATCCCCCTAGATATTCAAGATGTTCGAGATATTCAAGATTCAAAGACCTCCAAATCAAGAGAATGATCAATCTCAAAGGTTTCTTCTGAATCTAACTTTCTTTCTCCATGTCTTTCTTGGGAATCATCCAGAGAAGCCAATGTCTCATTTGTGTCACTTGCAAAAGTTTCTTGAGATGCATCATCATATTCTTGAAGATTAAGACCTTTAATAGCCTGCTTCATCTTTCCCCCCAAGATTTGCATTCTCCTTTTCTTAGCAGCTTTTTTATTTTAATATTCTTTTTGGTTTTCAATATAGAAAATTTCCTTAATTTGTCCCTCAGTCATGCTTGGTGTGTTTTTCAGAAGATTCAGATAAACTTCACCCGGTATTCTTCTGCTACCATTTGTTATTAAAAGTTTACCATTTTGTTCAACTTCTGCAGTTTCCATCAGAAGCTCAATTGCTTTTTTGTTTCTAATTATTCTTACTACTCTGGCTGTCAGATCTTTCTTTGGTTCCTGAAGTCTGAAAGAAATTCCATCTGCTGCTTTTTCTTCAGGATCCTCTTCTGTAATGTCATGTCGACCTTTATAGTTCATTTCTAATCTGTTTCCTAGTCTGTCTTTGATAGGTCGTTTCCAATTCATATAACCTTGTCCGTTTTCTTCTTTTGGACTGGCTTTTTTATCATCACGCATATATTCATCTAACTCTTTGTCTAGTTTTTCAGTTTGTGATTCCCTCATTATCTTCTTAGCCAGCATACTTGTATGCTGTAGTCTCTGACTGTCTGCTTTTGTCAATGTGGCCCTCCATTCCCAGTATACCAAGTTCATTAGCCACTGCATCTTGTCTCTGTTCCTATACCACTGCACCCCATCTTCTTCCCTCCCAGAATATACTGTTTCTGATTGTTCTGTACAAACTGAAAAGGCTCTGGTTTGGGAAGAGGATTAAAACATTTCTGTCTCTTTTGTTTACAAAGATAGTTGTCATCATCTGAATCAGAAAAGCTTTCCTCACTTGATTCTATACCCTTAATAGTTTGATAATGTGATACTGGAGAGACTGTAATGCTGCTTTGGAAAAGCCTGGGTATTGGTCCTTTCTGAGGCCACTTCTGGCAGCACTGCAGGAAGTAGTTCCACCAAGTCCAGGGCCTTTTCTTCCTCTCCCACAGTGGCTGGTGGGGAGCGAAGGGCCTGGTTCCACCTATTCTTCACTCCTCCCCCACCTTGCCCCACCCCTTTTCCCCAGCAATTCTTGTCAAATAGGGAATTATTACTCTAGTAATTTTGTGTTCCTGGCCTTATTAAACACTTGGCTACTAAGTTCACTTGTTTCTGAGTCTTGCTTAACAAATCTATTTCATTGATCAAGCTTTCTATTATTTTAACCAGTATCAAATTATATGATGATTGTTGTTGTTCAGTTGTTTCAGTCATGACTGACCCTTTGTGACCCCATTGGGGTTTTCTTGACAAAGATACTGGAGTAGTTTGCCATTTTCTTCTCCAGTGAATCTATTTTGTCAGGTAGTCAGAGGTTAAGTGACTTGCCCAAGATTACACAGCTAGCAAGTGTCTAAGGCCACATTTGAAGTTGGGTCTTCCAGACTCCAGGTTCAGTGCTCTATCTACTGGGCCACCGGCTACCTTTTATTTGATGATTACTGCTTTATAATGCAGTTTGAGATTGGATCATGTTAGACCGTCTTTTCTATTTTTTTCATTTCCCTTGAAATTCTTGACCTTTTGTCTTCCAGTTATATTTTGTTATCATTTTGTCTAGTTCTGTGAAGTTACCCTTGGTAG